TTATTAAAAACTGAAATTTTGACTGGAAGGAGGATGAAGAGGAAGCTCCATGAGATGGGCAGCCATGACGATACCCATCGTTATGGCACTGCAGTGGTTCAGATCACGACTGAAAAAAATGGCAGTTGTTGCGTTTTGTTTAAAAATGATGTGTGTAATCATCTAGTCCAAGTGAAAGACTCTTGAAGTGTCCTCTGAAAGAAAAGCACCTTCAGGCGAGGCCACAGGGAGACAAAAATGGTCTTGTAACTCTCGAACACTTCATCTTCTTTATATAATTTTTATATCAATATTATATCAAGCAAATAAGATGGCAGAGAGTACAAATAAAGGATGTTGACGGCTAAGGTTAAATAAGGGACGTTGACGGCTAAGGTTGAAATTTCACAAAAGATACATATATGAATACGGTCGAGATCATTGGCAACTTCTGTGGTGGGTACTGATACATATTGAAATATCAAAACCCAAGTCGACCTCCTTCGGTCAACAAAAGAAAAGGTCATCCACGTCCATTACGTTGATATAAAATCGTGCATCCCAAAACGTGTGGCAACAAATAAAGGACGTTGACGGCTAAGGTTGATATTTCACAAAAGATACATATATGAATACGGTCGAGATCATTGGCAACTTCTGTGGTGGGTACTGATACATATTGAAATATCAAAACCCAAGTCAACCTTCTTCGGTCAACAAAAGAAAAAGTCATCCACGTCCATTACGTTGATATAAAATCATGCATCCCAAAACGTGTGGCAACAAATAAAGGACGTTGACGGCTAAGATTAAATAAAGGACGTTGACGGCCAAGGTTGAAATTTCACAAAAAATACATATATGAATACGGTCGAGATCATTGGCAACTTCTGTGGTGGGTACTGATACATATTGAAATATCAAAACCCAAGTCAACCTCCTTCGGTCAACAAAAGAAAAAGTCATCCACGTCCATTACGTTGATATAAAATCGTGCATCCCAAAACGTGTGGCAACAAATAAAGGACGTTGACAGCTAAGGTTAAATAAAGGACGTTGATGGCCAAGGTTGAAATTTCACAAAAGATACATATATGAATACGGTCGAGATCATTGGCAACTTCTTTGGTGGGTACTGATACATATTGAAATATCAAAACCCAAGTCAACCTCCTTCGGTCAACAAAAGAAAAAGTCATCCACGTCCATTACGTTTGGCCTTCCATGGATTTTTGCCGGGAATCAGTACTGGTGACTATCGAATCCTATCTCATCTTCTCACTTCATCATTTACAAGATTTCTTCACATATCTATTTTTGCTTTTCACAAATCTTTTTTAATTTTAAGCAGTCAAATCAAATGAGTTGAAGAATATTAATTATAAAAAATTAATAAAAATGTGTAAAAGATAAAAATAAATGCTGACAGAAAATACAGTCGCTTTTAATGCCCAAAGCCTATCTCAATCATTGGAAAAGTAAACTACCGTAGCATAGTAGTTCATATATAGTTGGCAATGGCGTTGGGATATTAATGGCAAAACTTAATGCCCAAGGCCCAACATTGACATATGTAACGCCACAATTGCTAGTTCATATATAGTTGCAAGAGATTTTTCAATGTGATCAGTATACGAGATGGTACACCACGTGTCATTATACAAATAGTGGGATATGTGTGCTCAAAAGTTAATAACTTAAAAAATAAAATTTCCCACAACTTCTATTAAAACATGAGGTGTACCATTTGTGTTCTCGTCACAATTAAAAATTTCTTATATAGTTGCAAAAACTCAACAATTCCTTCCAATCCACCAAATACAACAGCAACAAAGCTTTGAAACACGCATGAGAAAGAAGATGAAAGGTGTTTAAAATGATAATTGGGTGTTTGGTTAGTAAGATACAAATATTGGGATAAAGTTGCTTTCTCTTAGTCCATTTAATTGGGACTTTAATATTTTGTATGTACATAAACGACTTTGCCTTTTCTCGGTCTATATATTTGCTAGCATCTAGAAAAATTCGTAGATTGCTAGCATCTAGAAAAATTCATTGTTGCATACCAGTCAACGAATTAAGATCCAACTTTTGAGTCTTGACTAATAGTATCAACTAGAAAATCCGCCCGCGTGTTGTGGTGGGAACAACTGTTTCATGCGTAACTCGCATGAATAAGACATATTTAACCTGAATACATTTAACACAATCATGAATGAACACAGGAACACACGAGTGAATGAGATCGTTTATCAGAACTTTGTGTAATCATGTTAACTACAAACTGAGAAATGACTTTCTTTCCTGCATAAAAATTTACTAAAGAAACAGTACTTACGTAATCATGTTAACTACAAACTGCACTACAAAAAATTTGAAGTATTTCCAAATATGTTGAAATCTGAAAGAAAAAATATGATAATTCTTCTGACTGCATAAGATTATACAATAAACATAAGATGGTGTGATCTCATAAAACTCAGTATTTACGAGAAAGGAAGATATAAACATACGCAATCCGCTGTCAGACTTGCCAAATAGATCTCATAAAACTCAGTATTTAGGAGAAAGGAAGATAATCTTGCCAAATAGATCTCATAAAACTCAGTATTTCTAATTCGTTTTCAGACTTGCCAAATGTAATCCCATAAAACTCAGTATTTAGGAGAAAGGAAGATAATCTTCAAACATAAACTTAACCATCAAATTCAGTTCTTAAAACCGAAAGAAAAGAATATGGTTTCTTAGTTTCTTACCCAAATCCACCAATTTGATCAAATTTCTGCAGCACAGCTTGAAATCTGTTTGAAATGATCTCCATGAACACGAATCTTATACATGCAAAACACTTTAGATGAAGTTGTGAGAATGGGTGGTGATGAAATTGAAGAAACCGCCAAATTCCAAACAAATTTTAGACATACAATAAGATTTTAACACTCATAAAAGTGTTTTAGAATCCACAAATTTAAACGAAAAACTGTATAAAATCATGAAAAATTTAATAAAACCCAATTATATGAATAACTCTTCCCGAAAACAGGACATTTAATGCAGAAAGCTCAAACTATAATAATTGATGAACCAAATATTTTCAATTGAATTTATCCTTTCAATTGGTAGGTATTTTTGTTTATCCTCGTATCTTTCAATTGCCACCCAAAACTAACATCTGAGAGAACCTTGCACTTCTTATCTTTAAAAGCATGAATGGTGAACTAAATAAAAGAATAAGAATCTGCAATGAACTAAATAAAAACAGACTTTTTACAAACATTATTCGCACAAAAATTAAAACTGTATTGAGAAACTCACCATCCCATTTCTCACGAATATGTATGATGCCAAAACCAATATTGACAGTCCCATTAAAGGCATGAACATCATACAGTGAATTGCACATAAAGGACAACATTATCAAGCATACCTTAACCTTAAGGTGGAATTGGATACGATCATTATCAAGTCTTCATCTCTGACACTAAGAGCACTCAGCATCTCAGAATTCCTCATCTACCATCATATAGCAGCTGCTGCCGCTGAAGCAGTACCAATGTCTGCTCATATGTATCGAAAAACATATCACGCATTCGTTATACATTTCTCTATTAATTACTCAGCTAACTGAATTTAAAATTAGCTTCCAAACCAAAAAAGTTCTAAACTTTTAATTTTGCAATCACATTCAGTTCTTCATCTCTTACTCTAAATCCCAATTACAGAAATATCTAAACTTTACTTCAATTTAATATTGTTTTCTCCAAAAACAGCACAATCCCACAAAAATAAAGTAAAAAAAAAACAACAGCAATATACCATGAATTAAATTAAAATTCTCACCTCCACCTCCAGCAGAGCTTTCGCATTCTCAACCTGTCGCCTAAAAAAAAAAAAAATCAAATCAAATCAAATTCAAGTAAAAATAAAAAAGAGAACTTGAATATAGCAACCCTACTCCCCCTCTATCTCCCTCTCTCCCTCTCCCTCTGCAATTCACGCGTGCACCCCCTCCCTCTATAACCCTCCCCGTGAAACCCCTAAACCCCACGCGTAGGCCCTATATCTTCTGGCTGGGACCTCATGAATACTCCACATCACCTCTATTCCATCGAACCATGGCCTCGGTCAAATCGAAACCAACCAGAGCCCACTCCCCATAACCCTACCACCCTCCCCAATATCCCACCCCTGTGATCTTCACCTTCTTCAATCTGTCCCCATAACCCTATATCAATTGGATTTTAATGGTAAGTAAAACAGTTGTATAATGAACAAACAATGAAAGAAGGAAGCCAAATGATGAGAATGAAAAGAAGAGAATTCAAACACATTGAGAATATTAGTTTTAGATTTTGAGAGCATATTTATTCCATTACCTTTTACCTTTCCTCTCTTTTAGCAACAGACAATAGTCATTAAATTTCTTCTCATGGCGTGTGTGTTGTGAGCTTGGTGAAGCCATGTGATCCTAATTTCTTTTTTTTTTTGGAAAAAATTATACAAATGGTACGGTTTCAACTGTACATGTTTAACCTCAGTGTTTTTCAATTTCAGTTTTACCTTTACAATCCATTAATTTTCCTATCCAAAATGTTTTGAAAAATAAATCTATAGCTGCTAACGGTCCATATGTTTCATGCTGTCAGACTCTGCAATCTAAAAATTCATGTAAATGCAGAGGTTTGGCTGAAGGAGAGGCATCGAAGAAATCCAGAAATCCTTCCATGGCAAACTTAGTTGTACACCCATGGCATGTGTGTTGTGTGCTAGATGCCCCCTCTTTTAACAACACGCAATAGCTTATGCAAATGCAAAGAGACTTCAACATGTTTCATTTAAAATAAGTTTACATTTTGTGGCAAATGCATATGGCGAAATAGTCTATAAGTAATCATATTGGCAACCAAACAGAACAGTTCAAAAAGTTCAATGGAAATATAAATTGCACAAAAAAAAAAAAACTTGAATTTCCAAACCCACAAAATAAAAAATTCAATCAGGTTAAATGTAAGAAGAAATACCAAGAACTGAGAGCTGCAGACAATCAAAATGCTCATGATCTTGGTCGTGCTGATGAAATCCAAATCTGTACTTTCATGTCCTCCAACTCGGTCAATTCCTTGAGAAGCTTCGATATCCCCAACAATGTCTCCTCTTCGTGGCTGTGGCCATGGTTGTGCCAACTGCCATGGATCTCTCTCCTTCTAACCAGACACCACTTCTACCCTTTCTCCTTTCAAACTTACCTTTCATCATATGCGTTAACAGAAACAATAACTTTGGTCAGTGCATTCAAACCAAACCCATAAATCAATTCCTAAAATCAACTGCAAATCACAAATTTACCCAAAAAAATCCCGCAAAGACCCAAAATCCCTGAAAATTACCATATTAGCACTCCCTCCACCCCAAAATTAGAAAATTAGAACATAGAATATGAAACATTGTACCTAGAAAGCAAGGAATCGATAATTTAGGAGGTTTCCCAGGACAATAATGAGCTTTTAAATATCATATTCCCATATGGATGCACAAATACAGAGAGACACTACAGAGACCAATGAAAAAATATAGAGACACTCAGAGACTCAACAGACACCATTCATAGATCCATGACTTAGAATTTCTCAGATCCGGTTGAAATTAATAAAAAAAAATCAGGGATGTGAATTTATACCTCTGATAGTCTGAGCTCCGTTACCCTGATTCCTTTGCCGGCTTGGGGCAAACCTGATGAGATTGGCGATTAGGGGATACGAATTCAAAATAAAAATTTCTAGTAGTCATCGTCGCTGCTGAAGTAGTCATCGTCCTCGGATTCCATCGTTGTCCGACCACAAAAACCTAATGGCGGCCGGAGAACCACAGAACCAAGAGTAAAAAACGGAGTGCGGGAGAGAGAAGCAGCAAAAATACAGAGAAGATGGCAAGAGAGGGGAGAAATGGAAAGCAGACAAACAAAAAGCAACATGGGTGCTAGCCAATTTCCCAAACCCCACTTCTGCTAAAGCTACATGCTATTGATTATGATTAAAAACTAAATTAATCATATCATTAATCGCTAATAAATAATGGGTTATGTTTGTTTTCATGAATTCAGGCTCAAAATACGAACTGTAAATCCAAATTTTGAAATTTAATTGCTTTAATTATCTCCTTACCCGATAAAGCCGGACGATTACTGATCACTAAGCATCCAATTCTTGAAAACTACCGAAATCAAAACAACAACTTCCACTCAATTTCTCAGCAACAGAAAGATCAAGCCAAATCAAAACCAACTTTCAAATTGCACAAAAGAGTCAAAATTTAATTGCTATACAGAACTATCGGTTCAATCGAAAACAATTAGAATTCGAGACCCTACCTCCTCCATTCTCTGAGAGCGAAGCCCTCCTCAGGCAGCATATCCAATGGAGCCAGCAAAACTGGATCGTCGGACCCGCCAAACCCTCCATCAAAGCCCTGGCCGTTCGACTCGGCGTAGATCAATGGAGGAGAGAAGGCCTCCGATGCCGGCTGAGTGGCGAAAGCGTCGTCTACAGCGGAGCTGTGGAAGATTGGGGAATCGGTGGCGGAGTCCTTGAGCGACTCGGAGTCGACAAAGGAGTCGAATCGCAGGGAGGAGAGTCAGGGGTTGTAGCCCAGGTAACCGTTGTGCAGGTGTGTTGAGGGTTCTTGAGTTAATTGAACCATTAAACGTGCAACTGCTTTACAAACCTGCGAGTCAGTAACTGGTAAAACATGAGCTTGTACCGGCGAAAGCCATAATGGAAAATCCCCGGCATAATGCTCTATAAGGACCCCAAAAAATCGCTTCAATGACCCAAGAACAGCTCTATGAATCATGATAGGCCGCTTCTTTTCAGAGTTTGAGTCAGCATATGTTAAGTCAAAACGCTGTGGTAGGTTAAAATCAACCTGTACAATTTTGGAAATACAAAAGATCAAACAATTTAAAATAACAATAATAAGTGGCTTTAGTCTATCAAACAAATCCATGTAATTTGCTCAATTCAAAAAACATGCCCAAATCTCTAATGAACATTTTACAAAGTGATACAGAGATAGACGGGGCATCCTCAACTTAAGATCAATCTCATTATCCCGTCATGAGTTCAGGATTAACCTGTATAGTTGAGCACTGCCACTTCCTTCCAAGGGCATCCTCAACTTAAGATCAATCTTTGGACCATAAAAGGCACCACCACCTTCATCAATTTGATAGCTCCAACCTTTATCATCCAAAGCATCTCTAAGGGCAGATGTTGCTTTTACGGTTTCACCCATAAATCATCATCTCCAACAGCTTTCTCTGGCCTCTTAGAGAGATTGACCTCATATTTGATGAAGCCAAATTGCAACAAAAGTTCTTCGGTAAGATCTAGGACACCCCTAATACATCTTTGATCTGATCTTCTAGACAAAATATGCGGCATCATCCTGCAACAGGTCCCGAGGTTAAACAAAAAAAAAAAAAACTTTATACACCTAGGATTATAGACTAACAGTTTGCAAATACTAACACCATACCTGAGTAAAACCTCTTACACGAAAAAGACCATGCAAGTTTCCAGATAATTTGTATCTATATACGGCTCCCAACTCAGCAACTCAAATAGGAAATTCATGATATGAGTGAGGCTTCCTTTTGTAAACCAAGATATGAAAGGGGCAGTTCATCGGTCGAAGCTAATAAAGTTCATCCTCAACATTCATTTGATCATACACATTCTCCTTGTAGTAATCCAGATGACCACTTATCTGCCAAAGGTTCACCTTTGCAACATGTGGAGTATACAGCAGATCATAACCACGCTCTATGTGGATCTTTTTCCACAAATCTTCCATTACATGCCTCACAATAGCACCCTTCAGATGCCAGAACACTAAACCCCCACCAGCATCATTCTGTGAAAATTCAACAATGAAAATGTTCAATGCAAGAATCCTCATAATTACAAAAAATGGGATTGCTAACTGATAAATCTGTGTAAACAGCAGAAAGAGATTCAGGGCAATTCTGAGTACCTGTATAGAAAACAGGTCAAGAACTTGACCAAGGCGCCTGTGATCTCGACATTTAGCTTCCTCTTTGAATGGCCTTCAATTGATCCTCACTCTCCCATGCAGTGCCATAGATCCTCTGCAGCATTGGTTTCTTTTCATCTCCTCTCCAGTAGGCACCAGCAATAGACTCAAGTTCGACAACTTTTCTGTTAATATTTCCAGTTTTTTTCAACATGGGGCCATGCACATAGGTCCCACCATTCATCACCTACGAAGAATTCGGCATACTATGAGGAATTATGACATAAAGACAGTCCAATATGACAGGATGCTAGTTCAAAACACAATCAAATCCCAGTACAAGCATGCATATGTGTAAACATAAGTATAATTTGGTTAGCTTGACCAAAAGGTTCCTCCCACCTTCAAATTAGTCTCCTTTTCAACCTGCATATCAATAACTCATTTTTAAAGAGCACCAACAACATTGTTTTCCCTGAGCACAGCCCCGCCATCTCTTTTTTATTCCTTTATGCACAGTTCCTGCACATTAAATCATCACCTTCCATACTATATTGAGCCTGAAAATAGTGAAACCCTTACCAATATGATATACGGTAACGGGATCTTCTTTAATACTATCCAAAATTTCCAATTTGTATGGTTCGTTGAGAGCGGTTATTCTTTTGTGAGCTTCATCTCTTGAAACTTCTTCTCATATGAGTGGTAAGTTTCTTCCAATGATGCGATCCTACAAATCACAAAAGAAATGCTCATGAATAGTTTTCAATAGTTTCATGGTTCCAAAACTTTGATACAAACATGATAACTTATACAGAAATTCCACTTACCTTCTCTTTCTTGATTCTCTTCAACTCTTTGTCCGTCAAAGGCTCCATATCAAAATCATAATAGTACGCATTTTCTATCCACGGACCAATTGTCACTTTTGCATCCGGGAAGAGCTTTTGAACAGCCATGGCCATCACGTGTGCACACTGCAGTCAAACACGTATAAATAGTTCATCACCATAACAGCGGAAAAGGCACCATTAATACCAAACTACAAGGAAATTCAGAAAAAAATGAACATAGCTCGACCTCAACACTTTATCAAAATATAGAAACCCATGTATCTTCTCACATTCCCAAAAACAGGATGAAAATTTTCGCAGCTTATGTACTGCTGTACACCCATTTTTCCATGTGCTATTCGATCAAATTTCAAATTACCGAAAAGTTATGTTCTTATTTTCTTCATCCTCACTTCCTCATTCTTCACAACAGAATCAGGTGACAATTAGTAACGTAGAATTGAAAATAGTTGATTAAAAGCATCAAACTTTCAAAAACGGGAAGCTCCTAAGAGTCTAAAAGTTCAACAGGAAAGCACTCCTACTTCAATTTAACATACACAATTATAAATCCAATCCAAAGCAATGAAATTTCAATAAATACCGTGTGTCGAATTGTGATGAGGCTTTCGGAGGACTCGTTGGTTGGAAGCACGACTTTCTCAGGCTTATCAGCTACCTCCATCTGGGCATCCTTCAATTTGTCGTCTTGGGTCGAGATCTGAGCCTCCGTGGCCATCGCCGAGGAGGTGGAGACTCCATTTCAGCCGCCGTAGAGGGACAGAGCCCCGAACTCGGAGCTCAGTGACGAAGCGCAGTGTTTAACTGGGGAAAGCAAAGAAGAGGTCTTTAGGAGAGGGATTGAGAGGAAGGAAGAAGAAGTGGCCATTGCCATTCTCTGAAGGATTAACATCTGGGTTGTGTTTGGATTTCAGAATTATGATTGGGTTCGTGTGCAACGGTGGAGGGTGAGTGAGAGTGGCGTTCGTGACTGCATTTGTCCCTCGGACGCCTTAGAAAAGGCGAAGATCGAGAGCGACTGAAGCAGAGGCTTGTGAGAGAGAAGTTGGACACGTAATCATCCCCTCACCAAATCCCACACGGCCGGCGGTCCCACACGGCGATGATCAAAGTGTGGATCACAAAACCGAAAATTCCAATCCGAACGGAACTTCCAGCCCAAAGACCCAAAACCCTTTCTGAAGCCCAGTGGCAATTTTGCAAATAACGTTAAATCAGGGGGCAGAGAGACTCGGTGGCAATTTAGTAAATAAACTGAAATGTACCCCAAAATTGCACAGTGCCACCTCTCCCCTAATTTAGACTAAAGTAATTATAATGTTCTGAAAGACAAATTCATATTACATAATTTTTCATTTTTTTTCAAAAATTATTTAGAAATGTATATGGCTATAACTTTTTATCTAATTATTTGTTATTATTTGGATTAATTTGCAATTTTAGGTTTATGTGTTACTGATTTTGTTTTCCAGTCTCTAAAATTCATCTTCACTCCCTAACAAAAAAAACACTATCTTAATTTAAGAATAACGGGCGTCGAAGAAAACATACAAAATCACAATAAAACAATTAGCGTTTAAATAGGAAAAGAAGGATTCTGATATTTATTTTATTCCCTAAGAAAAGCTTCAAAGTCCAAAATCTCTGAATTGTAAAGCTGAACCTGATACATTTCCAAGTGTTTTTAACTATTAGACATAAAACCTTAGATCTCAAAGCCAACGGTTTTCATTCGTTCAAAAAGAATAAACAAACAACCAGTACAAAACCATGGACTTTATTATCTTCAATGTTCAAAAACTCACAAAACTTTTTTAAGTTCGAAGCCCTCTTTTTACTGAGGGATCCAATTAAATTAAAAAAATTATGCAAATAATCTTTGGCAAGTCCAACCGAATTGTAGACTGAACGAATAACTAGACTAATGGGAAAAATTGCAAAGCCAATATCCAACGAATGAGACATTATTTACACCATGCATCCATTGACACATGGACCTGTGAGGTGTACAATGGTGTGCAGTGCAGGGGAAGAGACAACGTACGCATGCTATGAGAAATTTTTAGTACGTTGAAAATACAGTACATCAAGTGTCGTAATATAATTAGTTGAATTTTTTTTTTTAAATTTTCAATTAATTGTATTATTACACTTAATGTATCGAAATGTATTTCTGGTACACAAGAAAATCTCTAGCATACTGCTTCCATAGACCTTGCAACAAATGGCAAAGCAGCAAATACTCACCAAGAAAGAGGTCAAACTTGGTAATTTACCCCATGAAAGTCCGCCATTTTCTCAGTTGGCAAAAATTCTAGGACAATACTTTGCACTCACTAGAATATTGAATACCTATATAATCAATTTTCAATTTGACGTAATAATATTTTAATACATGTTATATTATTTGAAAAAATAATAGACATGTTATTTAGTTTGTCTTGAGCTTTAAAAACAAAGAATCTTGTCATTGGGGGTGAACCGAACATGATGTTTATGCGTAATTTGGTAACAAAAAAGGGGACACTAGAATCCAATTAAAACTCGTCACATGGTAAGTTTTTAAAATATATCTTATCATCCTTCTATTTTAAATTTTCCATAATTATCTTTTTTACTAATAATATACACCAAGAGATTAATCTAACCGTTCATATTTTTTTCCTCTCCTTCTTTCTCTCTGCCGTTGCAGTCTTCTTCCCAGTTTCTTTACTTTCTTCATAAGGACACGAGAAGAAAGAAAGAAAAACTAATCTTCTCCAACTATCAGGGAATGAAAAGTTAAAAAAAAATTCAATTTCATAAACGACCACATACCTCATCGTGGACCAACTGTTTGAATTTATGGTTGGCAATCTCTTCACACCGAATCGTAGCAACCATAACCTAATTAAATTACAGTATGTGTACATAATATCCTGACGCAGGGACAACACCCCTTCTATCGCCAGCAAGCCCTCCTAGAGAAAGCCATCTCTCTTTCTTTCTCTTTTGTGATGCGTCCATCTCAGCCTCCCCAAGCAACTCGGCCGCGGC